AGCAGGAGAAATAGCTACAAGGTTTGCTGTGTCAGTACACAGATATCTTCATAGATAGAACAGACAAGACAGACCTTGTGCAACATAATATAGAGACCCTGACCAGGAATCCAGTCAAGGTGAAGCCCTACCAGATGCACTATGTGATGAGAGACCTGATGAAGCAAGAAGTTGAGGTAGTGTTAGAAGCCTGAATCATTGACTCTTCGAATTCAGCCTACTGTTCACCTGTGGTAGTCGTGAAGAAGAGAGATAGCTCAAACTGCTTCTGCATAGATTTCATGATGTGTAACCTCATGATGAAGCTCAACTCCAAACATATGAGCAACTCAGACACTATCATGGCAAATCTAGACAGGGCCAATTTCTTTTCCGAGATAGACCTCAGTAAAGGTTATTGGCAGATCCAGATGGAGACAAAATCTAAAGAGAATACAGCCTTTGTGACACCAGATAGATGCTACTGGTTCAATAAGATGCCATTTGTGTTAGTCAACTCAGCAGCAACATTCAAGGATGAGGAAGATGTTGCACAAAACCACCAACATCGAGCATTACATGGACATAATTCTGACCTATACAGATAAATGGGAAGACCACCTGAAGAAACTCAGAAGTCCATTCGTGCAAGTGAGCAGGTCTGACCATTAGATGATCTAATTGTTACATTGGTTATTCTGTGCTGGACATTGTTTGCCACAAAGTGGATGACTGACAGATAGCCATGGAAGAGGAGAAGCTAACCTGCATACAAGATGCACCTGCCCCAACAACAAAGCAGCAAGTCAGATCTTTCTTGGTGTTAGCAGGATAATATAGGAAGTTCATCCCAAACTATGCTTAAGTCACTGTACAACTGACCAATCTAATTAGGAAAGGCCATCCCAACAAGTTGAAATGGGAACAATCACAGCAGATGGAATTCCAGATGTTGAAGAACAAGTTAAGAAGTTTACCAATCATTAAAATGCCAGGCTTGAATAAACTGTTCATTGTTCAAGCCAATGCAACAGACATTCAAATTGGAGCAGTACTTGTGCAAGAACATGAAGATCGGCCGTTTTTTGTAATTGAACAAGAGTGTCTGGTCATCCGAAAATTCCAGAACTACCCTACAGAAAGATGTTCATCATCCAGACAGACCATCAGCATCCAGACGTGCAAAACCGACAGTGAGGATCATGATGTGGGTGTTGTACCTCCAGAATTATTGGTTCCACATTGAAGCCATCAAGGGGACTGCAAATGTCGGTGCAGACTGTTTGAGTAGAATGTGAACATGAACTGAGAAGTCTTTGTATATTGTAAAAATTTGTCTTGAAGATGAGCTTATTGTCAGATATATACGACTGCTTCTGTTTGTGATAGTTTATTGTAGGTTTGTTTACATAACTGTTTACAAATTATAGGTGATGTAATTCAATTGTTGTGGATTGGCAATTGTTTTATTATTGCATCATGTTACTAGAACCTTATAAGTTTTTCTCGTTGTTTTAATTGAGTATTATTGCATCATGCTACTAGAACCTTATAAGTTTTTCTCGTTATTTTAATTGAGTATTATTGTATCATAATATTTCATAATGTGTGGAATATAGTTTGAGTTAGTTAGTTATATAGATCTAAACAGCATGATAGTGAGTTTAGCAATAAAAAGCATATAACGGTGATTTCTAAAATGAATTATCACAGATTGTATTGTAACAACAGAGTAGAGAAGAAATAATTTGTTTAAAGTAACTGAACCAGACTTTGATGAAAAAGAGACAATTATTTAAAGTTATTGATACAACAATGATAACCAAAAGTATAACGAATATTTGTGTATAAGTTTCACTTCTTTTTAAAATACTATTTTAAAACAAGTTTTTTTTAGTCTGTTTATTATTAAAATTTATCATCAACAAGTAACAGACACCTACTGTAAAGAATCCAGCCCACACATAAGAACTTGGCACTGGCTTTAACCTGTGTCTATTACATGTGGGCCCGGCATGGTCAGGTGGTTAAGGTGCTTGACTTGCAATATGAGGGTCGTGGGTTCAAATCCCCACCCCACCAAACATGCTCACCCTATTAGCCGTGGGGACTATAATATGATGGTCAATCCCATTATTCATTGGTAAAAAAGTAGCCCAAGAGTTGGCAGTGGGTGGTGATTACTAGCTGCCTTCCTTCTAGTCTTTCACTGCTAAATTAGTGATGGCCAGCACAGATAACCCTTGTGTAGCTTTGCGTGAAATTCAAACCAAACCAAAACTATCACGTGATAATGTATTTTAGGGGGTAAAACACTTATTTGTGCAAGTTAATATGAATTGGAAGGTTTTCTCCCTTGTGTTTGTTTGGAACAGTCGTTGATGTAGGTAGTTTAAGATTGTCTCTGGTCTGACTTGAAAGTGTGGTATTTCATTATTCTTATTATCAAACTTTTCTGGTGAATATGAGTATTAATTTTTGCTTTGTGTAGATGCAAATGAAACCTTGTTTTTAACTCCAGAAATCATTATACAAAAGAAGTTGTCCAATAGCTAGACACAAATCCACTATTGTGAAAAGTATTTTGTTCATTTGTGTCATTTGTTTCTATTTGCTGTTCTTGTTCAATATAACTCCCTGTAGAACATTTCCACAATCTGCATTTTGTAGATAGTTGATTTCTTTCTAATATGGGGATATCAATGTACTTGAATACCACAAGGACTGGGTTCTTAAAATATTAGATGTTAATCATTCAAGGAATTTTGAATGACACAGTTATCACAAAATTACTCTTCCTCACATCACCAGGTTATGTCACAAGACTATATAAAAAAAAAAATGTTTGAATATTTGGCTTTAAGATATCAAACAATACATTACTACGAACAATTACTAAATCACCAGTATTTGGGTTGCATCTTCTATATTAATGCTATTTGTTGTAAAATACATTTGCTTCAATGTTACCATATAATTGAATTTGCTACCTTCAAGTGCACAATGAATGCAACTTAATTTATTTCATATTAACTCAAAAGTCATGTTTAAAGATCAATGGTCATCCCTTACTATTAAATTTGACAAACTGCAGGGAATTTCACTCCACTTCAGTAACCCTGGACTACGAAAATGGATGACTAGTTTCTTCTAGTGGTGACTATTCATAAAATACAATATTGTCATGGATATTTTTTACACACTAATAATTTGTTGTTTTCATAACTCATGTGTTAGCATAGGATACATGGTAAGACATGTGATAACCCATATGAAAAAATGGAAAACATTAGTTTCAAATTTAATAGATATTTGTTTTGATAGAGAAAAACGTTTTTTGCTTTAACTTGTTATTAATGTTTTATACAGATAATATTGATAACTAATCACCAACTGGGTAATATATTTCATATTTTGCTGAACCAGTTTTATAAAAACTATCAGATTTTAAGGCTGTTGTAATGTTTTTAGTTAATTCCTTGGCAAAGCTGATCAGTTGGCATCAACATTTTTCACTAGTTGATTATTCAGCAATACAGTGTTTAAATCTTTTATATAAAATTTATGCCACAGGAAACCAGGTATTTTGTCTTGTATGATCCAGAAAATAAGACGCTATTTTATATTCATTAATGAAAGAAATCAAGAGGAAAATTGAAAAAACAACTTCTACCTCTTTACAACTGAAACTTTATTAACTTACACTTCATAACTAATAATGTGCATTTAAACCAAAACTTCTTTCCAAATTGGCACACACCATTATATAACGATGCCTATCAGCTTAAAGAATTAAAACACACACATTGGAAAATTGCAAAATAAATTCACAGAACAGTATATATTTCCTTCAGAAATTAGTATAATAACAAAAAATATACATGTATAAACTGAATTTGTTTTTCCAAAAGTGTTATTTTCTTTGCAGACTAGTACTAAAGAAAATAAAAATTCTTAATATTAGGTACATGACTAAAGGCACTTTGGTATGAAAAAAACAACAAAAAAAAAACATAGGTTGACAACCATTCATGAAGTTTTCACTTTTTTCATAAATTTCTTTGTGCAGAATAATCTCTCAACTTACCATATCTACAGTAATAACATCTATACCCACAATTAATGTGTAAGACAAATACTGACATACAAGATGTTTTACATATACATAAACTACCACAGATGTCCTGACTATAATAACATCTATACCCACGATTAATGTGTAAGACAAATACTGACATACAAGATGGTTTACACATACATAAAATACCACAGATGTCCTGACTATAATGTGGAAAGTTGATGAAAATATTGAAATCGACATCAAACCATTTACCTTAGTAAGTGGCAGTTATTTCAAAGTAAATATCTTATTAGGCAATGCTAAAAATAATATGGCATTTAAAAGTTTTTTATAAGGTTTACTGTTTCAATTTTACAATTTTCAATATTTTACGATTTTTTTAGCAATATTTTGTGAGTTTATGAGCAATTTGAAATTAAGTTTTTAAAAATCAAGTAATAAAAAGAGATTTAACTAGACTAGCTCATGAAATGATACTTAATTTAATACAGAAGATCCTAACAGATTTAAGTATGAGTACATTAATTTTTTAGGTACTTTAACATTATATTATTATATATATAGTGATAATTTTGAAAACAAACCATCATATATGCATGATTTTCAAATAAAATGGAAAGTTTCATTTCAATGAACAATAGGAAGGACAATTCAACCAGTTTGTGATTTGGAACTGAAATATATAACATTTTGTTACTTGCATCCACAGATGCAAACTTATATATAATCCTTCCTTGCTTATTAGATTTCTTAATTTCTAAAAACGTTTTGTATTATAGTTTATGTTTTGCCTAAAAATCTTATCAAAAAAATATTTAAAATTAAACATCTTAGCTCATTACATTACAGTCAATAAATTGGATATGAAAGTATTGCAGTAAGTTTTTTTTTATATTGAACTGATAAAAATAAATATATATTTATATATAAAAAACTGGGATGATTCGAGAAAAATAAATGCTTTCAAAATATATTAAAACCATGAATAAATTTTAAGAATATATCTAATTAAAACCTTTAACAGTATCTCATTCATATGTATTTCTCAGTCAAACAGTTCATAAATAATCCTAGTACCAGATTCTTCAAATAGAACAGTTAGAGTATTACAGAATAATACATGCAAGTTCTTTACTATGGATGTGGCTTAACTTATGAATGTTCATTGTACCATTTGGTTTTACAATTATTTTCATAACTTTGAGCTCCAGTCAAGTCCATTTTTTGAATAGCCTCTTGTTTGCTTAAGACTGAATAAAAAATAGATATACATACTTATATATACATATACTGAACATGCTAAAATTTTGTTTAAATATGCTAAATTTAAATGTTCTATAACACTTTACCTTGTGAAATAAAATTTTTGTCACTTACCCTTTTTCTAGATATTTTGATGAATGGTAGAAGAAAAAGAATCACTATAAAGTTTTCCTAACACATCTGGTTTTTATCATTTTGTTTACATTGTATCAAAAAATTTGGTTTATGTAATATGCTTCAGACACAACAAAATAAAAACTTAAAGAAATCTACAAGCAGTAAAATAATAAACAAAAAATGGAAAATATACAAATATAAAAAAAACTACATGAATACACATAAAAAGAAAATAATAGCAAAAAAATAAGCAAATTACATTTACAACTAGAAACAAGATATTTACATAATATCCTCAACCCTAGAATTATTGACCACCCCAACTCAACACTGCTTCTTTTCAAACACATTTTTCTAAACTGTTTACGTGCAGAATTGTTTGTGAATCTGTGAACATTGGTTACAAGGTCTTTTATAACATATCAGTGACACAACAAATTGTAAGACAAAATAACCTCAATACTACAACTAATCCCACTTATTACTGTTGGATCAAATCCCTCTATGTATTTTACATATGAGTGATATCACTCAATGTTTGGGATAAGGTTTTGTTTTATTTTTTTTACATTGAGTGTTGTAATAGACAAATTTAAAACACAAAAGTACTAAACATGATCCAATATATGAGCCCCACAGGTAGAGAAACATATAAAAATAAGTTTGTAATCCAGTGTTTAGAAAAAGGAATGCCTATATATACATTCATGGATTACAGTATAAAATGTTTTTTCAAACTAAAACATGTTATATTTAAATGTTTAATGTTAAGGATTATTTATGAAAAAATCCCAAACTTTCTTGAATGAAACTGCTAGCTGTTTCTTAAGTGAACCTTTGGAAAAGTTTAGTCTCCCTACAACAATAGTTTTTAACATATAACTATTTGAAATATGAAGTTTTCTTCACATAAAAAAGATAAAAAAAGTGATTATCAAAGTAAAATTTCAAAATCATAAAAATTTGTAATACAAATAATTATCAACATGTTATGCACTTAGAAACTTACTTGAAATTGCTGATAGCATCTTTTGCCTGGGAACAAGAGGAATATTCAAGTTCTGCAGATCTTTGCTTGTAAGTTTTAAAAATGTTGTGAGATCAATCTGAAAAAAAAAGCCTATTTTCTCAGTTCTGGTACTTACATTTTGCTCAGTATATCTGAAGTGTATAATAATGTTTAACATTAAAATGTATATTAGTTGTAGAAAAAATGCCCCAAAAAATATGAGACACTGGTCAAAGATATCAGAGTGGCAGCAAGAAAAGAACTATTAAGATTGCTAAAGAAACAGAGGCTAAAAAGCAGAGTAGAACCACTGAAAAGTTTGTTCTTAAGAAGGTTCAGTCAGAACACACAGATGCTTTATACCATGATAAAAGTATAAATGAGAATATTGTTGGCAGACTCAAGTGACAAATAAGTTATTTAATTATGATGAGAATTTTGACAAAAATAATGGAAATACTGGTACTGTAGCTGATCTTATAGTCTTAGAGAAAGAGAAATGTGAACACAAAGAGCTTCATCATGCAACTACTAGTAGGCAAAATCAACATCCTGATCATAAAATAAATGACGACATATGCAACCCTAATTTTGAAGATCCCATATTTTGGCCAGAACATATAAGCATGACTAATTGTGATTTCTTAGTAAGAAAAGGTCCATGGAAAATTTAAAAGAATGACTTTCTAAAGGATCACACAGGACAAAAGTTTTCAAAAACCTACTACAAACGAAAGCCAGCAAATGGAAAAGTTGTAAGTCATCAATGGCCCGTGTACTCCACATCAAAGGATTATATATTTTGTTTCTGCTGCAAGCTCTTTGGTAACTGTAGCATAGCTTTCATATAAGGTAGATTCTGTGATTGGGTAAGTACTAGTGCACATATGTCTAAATATGAAAAGTCAAATGGACACATGACAGCTACCTTGCAATGGTTTGAACTTAAACAAAGACTCAACAAAGGATGCACTGTAGATAAGCTAAGCCTACAACTAATCAACAATGAAAGAGTTCACTGTTGAAATGTCTTTGAACATTTCCTAGCTATCATACGGTTTCTGGCTGAGTAAAAAATGCTTTTTATAGTTTAGTTGACAAACTGTGCCTGCCAAAAACACAATGAAAACTTTCTGGGAATTGTACAGTTGATAACAAAATTTGAGCCAACAATGAGAAGAGTGAAAGATGAAGAAATTCATGACCACTACTTGGGAAAGAGAATACAGAATGAGCTGATTTCTCTTATGAGCAATTGTAAGATGTACATGACTATTTCAGTTCAAGTTTAATGTGATCTTATGATTTAGTTAGCTTATATAATGCAGGTGTCACAATTAGTTATTTTTACAAGTGATATTTTATGGTAAGCTTTTTAAATAACTGTTTAAAAATAATACGTTATGTGGTTCAATTGTTATGAATTAGCGATGGTTTACAATAGTGAGATAATTACATCATGTTGCTAGAACTTTCTGAGTTTTTCCTTGGTTAAATTCAGGGGTGAAATTTTCAAAATAAAAGTAGTGGTACTCAGCAGAGTGAATTGGACCTGGTTTTGAAAAAGAAAAACAACCACATGTAAACATAAAAAAAGAACAGCAATTTGAGTGTCAATGAATAAATGGTTTCTGCCAGAACAATGGAATGCATGCACATCCAAAAAAGCAGCTCAACTAAGTACCAGTACTAGTACTGCCTTAAAAAATAAGTTCTGGTACTCAGTACAGGTGAGTATTGGCAGAATTTCTTCCATGGTTTAATTGAGTATTATTTCACCAGAATATCTAGTATTGTGTGGAATGTTCTAGACTTCTGTCAAGGTATAAATAAGTGTTGAAAAATCATTATTTAGTTATAATTCCAGACTGCATGATTGTGAGTTTAGCAATAAAGAGTGTATAGTGGCAATTTTTAAAGTGAAATTATAACAGATTGTATTGTATTAACAGAGAGAAACAATTCATCTTGTCAATTGGGTTCTAAAGTAACTGAACCAGTTTATGTGAACCGTGACCAAAAAATAGACACTTATTTAAAGCTCTGGATACAACTGTGGTAACCAACAGTGTAACGAACATTTATATATATATATATGAATTTATATATATATATAAATTTATCACTAACAAGTCACAGACAACTACTTTAAAGAATCTGGCCTTACAAAACCTGACAGCAATAAGGTGGAAACAACCATTGTACACAGAATAAAATCTGTTAAATATTATTCTGTTGTTAGACTGTAGACCAGACCTCAGCCATAATGAATAGATGCCATTCACTATTCATTATTATCAAATTATTATGTCTTAGATTGTTCATCTGATGTTTCTCCTGGAATTTACTAGCATTTCATAAATTTTGTGGAGGTGAAGGAAAGCACAGATAAAAATCTTCTTGAAGTCTTCTTATACAAGCTTAAAGAGCTGGGATTAGACTTTGTTAACATCAGTGGCCAAAGCTATTACACTGATACTAATATAAAAGGGCACATATCAGGTGTAAAAGCACAACTTCTGGAAATACATCCAAGAGCATTTTTCACTCTATTTGCACATCACAGTTACAATCTACTGCTTGTTGACTTAGCAAAAACTTTCAGAAACAATGACATTTTTTGGCATAGTTCAACATTTGTATGTCTTGTTTTTAGCCTCAACACAAAGATGGGCTATCTTTTGCGAGTCTGTGAAGCATCTGTCTAGAGAATCTCTGAGTGAAACATGTTGGGAATGCTATGTTGAAAGTGTTAAAACTATCAGGTACTAGAATGCAGTTTTCTGATGCATTGTTCAAAATTGTAGAGACAACAAATGATCCCCAAGCTTGCTGTGAAGCACAATCTCTGTGCAAAGAACTGAAGAATTTCAAGTTCTTTGTTGCTGTCATTGTTTTGTGTAGCATTTTATTCCATGTTAACTATGTCAGCAAAGAACTACAAAGTAACTCTGTAAACTTAGCAAGTGTAATCTAAAGTTTGGATAGCATGTGCTATTGGTAAAAAAAATACTGAGAAAGTAGCTTCGAAAGTTTACTGATTGAAGCAAGAGAAATTTCAAATGATCTGCAGACAGATCCAGTTTTCAAAGGCCCTAAATTACAAAGAAGGAAAAATATGTTTGCCTACGAAGCTGACAGTGAACCTGTCACAGATGCACAGTAGACTCTTCATGTAAACTGCTTCAATAGGGTATTGTACACAGCTATTAACAGCAGATATAAACAACTGAGAACATACCACAAGATATTTGGAATATATACAAATTTCAGAAGTTACAGAACCTGGAGGAGAAAAAAATGTCACATTGAACTAGAGAAAGTGCTCACAGATGGCCAAGATTGTGACATTGATAGCTATAAGCTTGCTGAAGAGATGAAAGCTTTGAAATCTATCCTTCCTGATTCACTCAACAGAGAGCCTCTTAAAATGTTACATTTTCTTTCCATCAAGACACAGTCAACAAACTTTTCCAATTCTTAGATTGCACCTCGGATTTTTCTGGTGACTGTTGCATCAAGTGAAAGAAGCTTTTCCAAGCTAAAATTATAAACACCCAGCTGAGAATAACAATGCTGCAAGAGTGGTTAAATAACTTGGCTATGTTGTCTATTGAAAATGACACTGCCAGAGACTTGGACTTTGGTGATCTCAAAGATTTCACTTCCAAAAAGCATGGAAGGTTCCTATTTAAAGAAACATGCTGTTGATCACACATTTGATCTTTAATAACAGTTTGGTCCCTATAGCTATAGTTGTTTAGTGTTATTATCATTATTATCCTAAATATTATATTCTTATATATCTCAAAATCATCAAAAATTTGCAAATGAAATTTATTATATGATGGATGTATTCATATGTTGTTTAAAATCAGTATCAGACCTCTAGTTTTTGCTTTAAATTTTTTGACTCAATAACTACTGCCAAGTTACTATTATAGTGACTGTAATTAAGCATGTGCATAGATACCAGTGCACACTTGCACAC